CTGGTGATGTCCTTGATGGTCGTGGTTGTGGAGGTAGATACTTGGAATGATGTTTTCGCAAAGATGTTGGAAACATTTTTGGCAATGGAGTTGGTTGGGAGGACTATGTATCTCTTCTCGGCAGTGTCTTCTCTGGGTGTGTTGAAGATGTTTAATGCCCGCCGTCTGCAGTCTCTGATGAAGTGACGAGGATAGTGGAGTTTAGAAAATACTTGTTCAATTATAGTGCATTCTTCCTCAAGGAACTCATTGCTGCAGATTCTGAGTGCACGTAGGAAGAAGCCTATAATTACACCACGTTTAGTTGTGTGACTTGAAAAAGCCCACTGTGTGGGTGAAACGTTGTCAATAAAGGATCACATTATACTGCATTTGTGTTTATATTTCCATTGTGTCGGTATTTTATACCATTTATTTCCACTAATGCATTTGGTAAAAAACTAACCGAAAAAAATAGTTATGATTCAGCTTTAAAAAAATCATAATTATTAAATGTATATTTCTTGGCCAATCTCTGCCAAACAATGCTGAGCTCTCTATACAATCCTAGTGAAAATACACACAGTAGTAATGTACAGTATTTGGTAAAATGAACTGATAAATATATATTCATTTAAAATAAATTCTGTATGAATATTTGCAATGCTCATGATTGCAATCTAATTTCACAAGTACTCCAATTATTTGGTTGCAACGCCCCAGTGTAAAACCTGCAAAACATTATAAGTTGGGCCCTACTGTATAAGGCTTCACTGTTAGTTTTTGCCTGTCTGATGATGTTTGTTTGGTCAAAGGTACTTAGAGAATCTTTTGGCTTTTTTCATTGTGCTTATTCTGCATACAGCATATGCATATTCAAACCAGAATTTTTTCTGCTGCATCCTGTAGCCTTGTTGGTAAGGTTAACTTGGGTAGGGAATATGTCATTACTGCTCAATCCTTTTACAGAGTAAAGTACACTTATGTAACAAAAGCTTCTTTCTATTTACCACATAATAAACATTTTTGAAGCAGCTGAGAAAAAATGGTTTGAGCCTTCTGATATTTTCTTAAGACTCTACCTTCTCCCCATATTAAAGTGAGGGATGCAGTAGATGGTCTCATCTAGCGGCCAGTGGATGTAACATCTTCACCCTCACAATCCTATAATCTTACCCACATGATTGATAAATCCCTTATAATGTATTTGTGTTTTCTACTACAAATAAAATAATATATAAATACTAAACATACAGATAAATGATGTTTTATATAGAATATACAGGAAATAAATAGAGACATTAGCAGCATATTTATGTTCATAAGAGAAGCTGTCTATCATATTATTTTTGTTTGTTTTAACTATACTTGATATCTGCAGATCATATACATTATATAAATTTGACCTAATTTACATAAAGAAACTTTTGTTTTTCTTTTAGAAACTTTTGTTTTTCTTTTTGGGTCACCTTGCTTCAGTGGGATACAGCCGGTTTGTTGAAAGAAGAAGAATTTAGATACGGTTAAGAATGTGTATATTATCACATATTTAGAAACTATAATCACATAACACAGCACTGCTTTCAATGGCTCTTTTAAAATATTATGAGTTTTATGTGAAATTATGTAGACTTCTACCTGCTTGACTGATGTAGATCTTATCAGTACAGTGATTGTAATTATAATAGTGTACATGCTTATCTTGGCTCATCCTCCTTGAGCTTCAGTTTGTTTTGTAAGATTATCTCAGTGTGTAGCCAAAATACATAGTACTAATCTTATCTTTGTTTTATTGTCTCAATGTGACTGTATTATATATATATATATATATATATATATATATATATTATATATATATATATATATATATATATATATATATATATATATATATATTATATATATATATACATTATATATATATTATAATATATTATATATAATATTATATATATATTATATATAATTATATACTTCATATATACATGTATATATTATATATATATATATAATATATATATATATATATAATTAATTAATATAATCATATTTATTTATTCATAGTTATATATACTAGTCTAAGTACAGTATATCTCTCATAAACTCAAGAGATATTTAGATAAAATTAATTACTACTCTTGATTACACATTATAAAACTTCAGAATATGCTCTGCCGGCTGATTAGTACAAGCTATTAAATCATTATAATAATACAATATTAGAACATAAAAGATTGAAATTTGTCAATAACCACATTATTAAGAACAAGCAAATGATGCAGAGAGAACAGGAAGAACTCACTTTTGCGCATGATTGCACCATCTGCCAGACTGCGAATTTAGGAAAGTCTGACATACTAGTATTGCATATCACTTTATTTGCTCAGCTTTTAGGAGTATTTAGCTTGATAGATGCATCACGAAACTGTTGTGGAAATTCTTTAGTGTGTACAAAGTTGAAAAATACAAATATTATTCAAAAAACACCAAATTAAAAAACAAAAATTGAGTGTCATTAACAGATGACGGAAAGAAGACTCATTTTTGACGACGAATGATACGCGACCAATTTCTGCCAGACTGCGAATTAGAGGCAGTCGTGACATACTAGTATTGCCATTCTCTTTATTGTGCTTCTGCTTTTCATAGAGATGTTTATGCTTGCGTAGGAGTGCATCACGAAACTGTTGGTGGAAATTCTTTAGTGTGTGTACAAAGTTGAAAAATACAAAACATCTATTACAAAAATACAACCAAATTAAAAATACAAAAAATTCTGAGTGTCCATTAAATCAGAATAATGTTCAAACTAGGAAAAGAAGCACTAAAGTAATCTATTGTATATCTAATACAGTACTGTACATGCAATGTACTCTTATACTGTAATAAGTGAAAATAATAAGTTATAAACACAGTTTACCCAGTGGAGTTTACCCATTATTTTAAAAGTCTGCTAAATCAAGGGTTTACTGTAGTAGTATATTTATTTATAGCCCTAAACTTACTGCTCAGTGCTCATGACCCACACACCTTCACCACGTTCCATATAATAATAATAACAATTATAATAATTATTATTGCCCCTTCTAACCCTCTTTACATAAGTAAAGTAAAATATCTCTGTTTTCTTACAGTTTGGTCTTACTAGTATTTATTTTTGTTTCCAATATTTAAAAGGTATGATAAAACAAGAAAAAGTGAAACAAAAAGTAAACATTTTTGTTACCTTTTCTCTTCCTTCAAAAGTCAGTTGTCCTTGATTGATCATGTTATCCAATAAAAGATCAGCAATTTGTTCCAGTGATGTAGCGTCCATGTCAAGAATGACAGTTCCGTTAAGAAGGAAAGAACGAAGTTCAAACAGTGAGTGCAGGGAGAGTGTTGCCACGTGGGGCTTAGACCAGCGCTCTCCACCTTCTTCCACATCTTCTTCAAACTTAACCCATCTACAAAAAAAAAAAAAAAAAAGATGAAAAGTTTTAACTTTTGTAGGTGGGAACAACTATGGTAGCTTCATAGGTCTTCATTGAAGAGTGCATCAGTGCTTTAGTAATACATCCATCACCATTACTAGGAATCACATTCTGGAACATGGCATCATATTGTATGACCAGAGTACAAAATAATAATGATAATAATAATAATGTTTTTTTTCAGCATGATACAATCTTTGTACAAAGGATAATGGCATTTGGGTGTACATGCAGAAAGCCCCTGTATATGCAGAGAATTTCAGGCAAACTTTAGATTAATAAAGCAATAACAATAAGGTGTAAATTTAAGAGCTTATAATGAACACAAGAGAATTAATTATTCTACTATTTCATGCTATATGGCTCTGACACATTACCAAAGCACAAGAAAAATTAAAAAATAAGTTCAACAGAGTAGAAGGTAGATAATAATACAAGTGTTGCATGACTGAGGCAGCAATTCTCCAAGATAATACTCCATTTTCCACAACTACAGTTATAACAATAATAATATCTTGACAAGAAGTAGTAGTGGAAATAAGTAAAGGACCCAATGGAAATAAGTCACTCTGGCTAACTTTTTTGGGTTATCCTAGGTTCTCTAACATATGCTGCTACGTATGATAATATGTATTTTTTTTTTTTTTTAAACAAGCTGGCCGTCTCCCACTGAGGCAGGGTGACCCAAAAAGAAAGAAAATCCCCAAAAAGAAAATACTTTTATTATCATTCAACACTTTCACCACACTCACACATAATCACTGTTTTTGCAGAGGTGCTCAGAATACAACAGTTTAGAAGCATATACGTATAAAGATACACAACATATCCCTCCAAACCGCTAATATCCCGAACCCCTCCTTTATATGTAACTGTATTTGTGTATAGCTGAATAAATTTACTTACTTGATAATAGTAGTATTTATAGTAGAAGTGGTGGTAGTGGTAGTATGAATAGTAGTAGTATAAATAGTATAAGCAGTAGTAGAAGTAGTAGTAGTAGTAGTAGTAATAGTAGTACAAGTAGTAGCAGTAGTAGCAGTAATAGTAGCATTAGTTGCAGTAGTAACAGTAATATTAGTAGCAGCAGTAGTAGTAGTAATAGTAGCAGTAGTAGTAGTAGTAGTAGTAGTAGCAGTAGTAATAGTAGCAGCAGCAGTAGTAGTAATAGCAATAGTAGTAGTAGTAGTAGTAGTAGTTGTTGTAGTAGTAGTAGCAGTTGCAGTAGTAGTAGTAGTAGTAATAGCAGCAGTAGTAGTAGTAGTAGTAATAGTAGCAGCAGTAGCAGTAATGGTGGTGGTGGTGGTGGTGGTGGTGGTGGTGGTGGTGGTGGTGGTAGTAGTAGTAGTAGTAGTAGTAGTAATAGTAGTAATAGCAGCAGCAGTAGCAGTAATGGTGGTGGTGGTGGCGGTGGCAGCGGCAGCGGTGACGGCAGCGGTGACGGCGGCGGCGGCGGCGGCGGCGGCGGCGGCGGCGGCGGCGACGGCGGCGGCGGCGGCGGCGGCGGCGGCGGCGGCGGCGGCGGCGGCGGCGGCGGCGGCGGCAGCGGCAGCGGCAGCGGCAGCGGCAGCGGCAGCGGCAGCAGCAGCAGCAGCAGCAGCAGCAGCAGCAGTACAACAACAACAACAACAACAACATACCTGGCAGTTTCCTTCCACTCCAGTTCTCCTCCTTCCATCTCTGTGAGTGTTTCCATCTCACTGAAGAGTGGATGACTGTCATGTGTACCATCATCGTCGTCGTCCTCGCCCAGTATAAACTGCACACGCTGGCTTGGAGGAGTTACTGAAAAACAGATAAAAAATATGTCACATGTTAAATTAAAAAAATATAGCCTCAGAGCAGTCATTTGAATTCATAAATTCTTATAAAATTACAGTATCATAAACTACTTAGAAGTTAAAAAAAATAGCAAAATTTGGTATTTAAAACTTGCACATAAAATGCAAAGCTGAGTTCATTGCAGCTCATCTTGCCACATAAGAGTTGGGATGCATGATGTATATATGCAATACATTATAAGATTTGAGCCAGATTACTGCAGTATTATACTGTATTTAAAAGTAGCAAGATAAAAGTTAATAAAACTAGCATAATAGCACAGCTGCACAAACAAACAATGTTGAATGATTTAAGTCAAAAAAGCCCGGAAAAAATTCTAAAAAAGTCAGATGAGTGTTATTACCAAACATTTTAAATATCTTGATGCAATACCATTCAAATAACTTAGCAAGTTCAACCGGACACAAACATAAAATATATGAATTAATAATTAGTCACAGCTTGCCTTTGTACAACACAAAATAACAAGTCATATGCTGGATAGCAAAGAAGAAAACAATACATAACTGTATTTATCTCGGACTTAATATTGATAGCATACTAAAAAACTATTTACAAAAGCTTTAAGAGCCTACAAAGCAACTTGCTTACATAATCCCTAAAACATTTTAGCTTGACTTAATGACAAAGATTGATAAGTAAGAAATCCACTAAGCTTACCCTTCGAAAAAAAAATTATCGGGTGTGAACACAGCGGAATTAGTCTTATTCAATGCATGAAAAACAACTGAGATGTGTTATCTCAGTACTGGTTGCAATACCACATGGCAATACTCTTATTACGACAGACGAGGGAACAAGATCCTATTCACGCATGTTCACAAAATATGGCCGTTACTGCAAGAGGGCTCATGCACTACTATGGGTAAGGCTGACGCAGGAGGGACAACGCACACCATGATTCCCCCATGCTGCATCCATCACAATTACACTCATTTCTCCAGAGAACTCAGACCAGGTAAAAAAAAATACCTAATCATCAAAGATACCAACTCACAATAAAACTTCTTATCTCTTTCTAATTTTGACTTTTTTTGATTCAATAAATACAGTACTATGTGGAAGTTACATAATAAACCTGCAGAGGTGTGTGAGATCATCTCTCTAACTCACAATCCTCTCATTAAAACTCACAATCTCCTTTCAACTCTGATAAATTAAATTAATTTAAAGTTCCACTCCCAGTACTACGGCTGCAACAAATCACAATAAAACCACAAATTAGAAATAATAACTGAATGAATTTTCAGTTCATTGTCAACTGTTACAAAATTAATGTGCATATTGATAATGATATTGCACAGCCTCAAATGTTATTCGGTTTTCATTTATAACTTGTGATTGCATTGTCATAATTAGTAGTACTATATACGCACTTCTGGTTTTGGTCTTTAGCAGGTGACTGAATTTTACTCGAGAAAAATATTATGTTGTGTAGTATTAGCATGTTATATGATCTTGCTCAGTAAGTAATATGACAAATTTTTATGCATGCAATTTTCTACCATTAATATTGCAGCAGTGTTGAATGACCCATATGGGTTTAGCACTCTTTTGTGAATACATATAATCATAGTCCATGTTAATAAGGGTAAATATTATTTGCAAAATTTTGGAAAAGGTCAAGTTGTTTTTTGGGCATGCACATGCACACACATCATACAAAATACGGAGAATAAAATGTGGTACTGTAATTGAATTATTGAGCTAAACAAAGATATTGCACTATGTGTCAGGTATTAAACATGAAATTCAAAAATGGTATTAACAGGAAAAATACCAGACTTGCAACTAAGAAATGCGACTGAGTCCATTGAATTAACCATAGAAAATGTAAATACTTTTAGTAGATACTAACAAAAATAAAGCAGATCGTTTTGAGAAAGTATGACCCCAAGTTGTGAAGGAATGTGTGCAAGAACTCAGCCATCCACTCTGGATTATCTTTATGGTTTCCTTATAATTATAAAAAACAATTATTTTAATTGATTATCCTATCGAACTTTTTGTATTTTTGCATAAAGTTTGTAATGTGTTATTTGTCCATCATTTTGTTTTCTATGTGGAAAAGTAACATAACTTTATAATCCAGAGTATAGATATCTTGAGTTTAGAAAGCATATATTGAAGACCCCAAGTGATACCTCATCTGCTCCTACACCTTTATTATTGTCACTAGAGATGTGTACAGTATTTACGTACTTGAGCTTTAATAATGCTTTTCTAAAATCACATCTGCCATCCGCATGTACAGCTTTAAGTTGTTTCTGCATATTAAACCCTACCAAGCTAAACTGCTTGTCCTTCTCTACCCTATGTTCTAGAATATTTTGTATGTCATAATCACATTTCCTGGTGATCAATGTTCCCTTCAGGTCATGAGGTCAAGTTGACAGGGGCTTCCCTCATAGCTCATGCCTCTGAGCTCTGACATTAACCTGGTTTCACACTGATAAGATAAGACAAGATTTTGTTCAGATTTTTAAACCCGGAGGGTTAGCCACCCAGGATAACCCAAGAAAGTCAGTGTGTATTCAAGGACTGTCTGTCTTATTTCCATTGTGGTCCTTCAGTCTTGTCCCCCAGGATATGACCCACAACAGTCAACTAACATCCAGGTACCTACTTGCTTGTTAGGCGAACTGGGACAGCAGATGTAAGGAAACACCCAATGTTTCCACCTTGCTGGGAACTGAACCACGGACACTCAGTGTGTGAAGCAAGAGCGCTGCCTATCAGGCAATGCTCTCCTTTACCTAGTGCTCAGTTTCATAATATAGCATTTGCTGGGGTGTGAACTCTAAAAGTCACTGATTTGATCATTCTTGCCCTATGTCCAGGTGTCTTTTTCCACATCTTGTCAGCATCAGCATACCACTTCTTCAGGAAGTGCCGTATTCATAATAACACATTAAAGATGATCTCATTATAATAAAATATGAACACCTGAGCACAATTTTATAAGGTGTGAGCAAAAACAAACAAACCACAAGTATGGATTTCAATCAGGTTATGATCTATCTAAATGTTTTGACAATACAACATTATGTTGTGAACCATATCACTGATATTTGTGAACACTGTGTAGGATGAAGTGTATTTTCAAATCTTGTCATTTCAATTTGCTGGTTTAAGGCAAATGTGTCAGTTTTAACACAATACATAGCTGCTTTGTCTGTCACTTCATTCAAACTGCCAATTAAATCTCTCTGTTATCATAGTGCTTAACATATTCTTCCAATATGTGTTTCTTAAATTCAGATCATTCAGTAACATGATGCTCAAGGCAACTTTATAATGTTTTCAAAACAGTGTTAGACAGTCATTAATTTATCACTAAACTGCTGGGAATTTTCAACTGGTAGATGTATATAAGAGTAATGATTATTAGTTGTTAGTGCAACTATCTCTATAATAACATTTAATGCCTTCTAAGTGATGCCATACTCTATCCTGTTGTCTGGCAAAGGGTTGTACATAATAGCCACCAGTAATTAACAATCCATGTACAGGAAGGCTCTGCTTTACAGCGCTTTACTTTTGCTAATACAGTGTTTTTTCAATTATACTGATTTTTCATTTATTCAGATTTCCTACAATAAACATATTCACCACTCACTATAAACTAAGGATGAAAATATTTTAAGGTAAGTAATGTGTAACCTCTAGGTGCATTTTTTAGGCCTAGCTCTATTGCTCACTTAATTAATATATATATATGATAGTACAGTGGAACCTTGACTTACGAGTTTAATCTGTTCCAGGAGCTAGCTCGTAACTAAATTTACTCGTATATCAAATTAATTTTCCTCATTTAAATTAATTGAAAAGCCATTAATTCGTTCCTGCACTCTGGAGAGACGAGAAAAAATACTTGAATGTGACGCTATTATCAACTGTACGGATTATTTATCTATCACAATTCATCTAGTGTGACATAATAAACAATATAATTAACACAGAAACATGATACGGTAAGGCCCCGCTTAACGGCGTTTCGCCTTACGGCGTTCCACTAATACGGCGATGTCAAATTATGACCAAAATTTGCTATACAGCAAGCGATCTTTCAAATACGGTGCCCCCCCACCCGGTTTGTTTACATTTTCTGTGACCTCATCTATTATGTCAGGAAACTTTCCAAAATTTCAAGTGTTTTAAGGTTACTGCATATTTTATATGTACTCTGATAATTATACTTGAGTGTACCTGTACCTAAATATACTTACACACTGTGCTGGTGTGCAGGTACACATTAAAATCTCTAAGTCTCTCTCTACTCATGACGCCAATACTACGTAATAATAATAATCACTCTTGGGCACACTAAATGTCTTATTTTACATCAATATAGGCATTTTCATTAATCCATCTATGATATTTTCCTCAGTTATATATGAAACCCATTACACAGCATATAAATATGATACATACACTCACAGAATAAAAATTGACGTATATATGAAATTTGTTTACAAAGCAGCTGTGTAGGTAGTGTCGGAAGAATTACGTTTTCTCTAGTCAAACTGGGGGATAACTGTAGAAAAATATTCTTTTCGTATGCCTTTACTCTATATATAGCAATTCACGACCCTTGTGGGTTTAGTGCTTTTTATAATATAATATAATAATAATAAATAATAATAATAATAATAATAATTATTATTATTATTATTATTAATAATAATAATAATAATAATAATAATAATAATAATAATAATATTATTATTATTATTATTATTATTATTATTAATATTATTATCTTCATTCACTCTAAAAATGGTGTGTTGCTGTTTGTTTATTCTGAACTAACTTGTACAACTTGTACACAATGTAAGAGTATTTGTATTGTGAGGTAATTATTATTATAATAAAAAAATATTGAGGTAAATGTTTTACAAACTCTTACAAATAGACGTGAATGAACTAAAAGTAGACACATATTAATACGCATTTATTTCGCCTGACCAAGTGATCGTCCACTACCTGTTCAGTTTGTGTTCTTACATTGTCTCAACTCTGTATCTCGTTTTCTCTCTCGTTTACTCTTTCATTAACTAGTTGGCTCTCACTGACGATGGCGTCTAAGGTTAGCTGTGATAAAAAGAGAAGTCGTAAGCCTCTTGCTTTAAGTGCCATTCTGATTTTATTCAATAAGCACCCTGCCACTCACCTCTCACACAGTATCTTAACTTTTACTGTGTTTTTAATGCCTATTTCTATTGCTAACTTAATAGTTTAAGTTAGTGTAAACTTGTTGTCTGGCATTTATTGCATATTTTATGTGTGCTCTGATAATAATACTTGTGGAGCTGTGTGGTAGCCGGGTGGAGGGACAACATTATGTTTTCTCTGCTCAGCCATCAGAGAAAACATGTATGAATCTGCGTTTGGCCCAGCCACTCCCTCACTCTGCTTTTGTTTACACTTTTTGGCATGAATTATTCATTACTTCTACCTTCGTTTATGATGGCATCTAAAGGTAGTTGTTAGAAATTATTAAATTCAGTGAACAAGGCATGTCGATGTTAATAATATGGCTCTGGCCCACAAATACTACTCACCTCTCTTCCTATATTAAGACTACACATATTTTAAGGTAAATAATGAGTGTACTGTATGTGTATTTTACCTCTCTGGGATGTTTTAAATATCGTATATTAAGTATGAGATGAGGAGCCAAGGCTACCTACACCTGGGCTACCTGCACCTGACTTCCTATAAATAAGTACTATTCACCTCTCTCCCTACATTAAGATTACAAACACTTTAAGATAAGTAATGAATTTACTGTGAATATATTTTACTTTGTGTGTTTTTAATGCCTGGTTCTATTACTAACTTAATATAATTTAGTGTAAACTTGTTGTCTGGCATTTATATGCATTTATAAATGGAAAAAAATGACATTCTGCCTTCCGGTGATGTCTGCTTTCCGATGAGAGTCTGGAACCTAACCCGCTGATAAGTGTATAAGTGTATAAGTGTATAAGTAGGGCCGTGATATCACCCACTCAACTTTTTTCCATTTTTTTTCTCATCTTGTGGGGAAAATGGTATATGTATTCATTTTTATTAGTCTCATCTCTGTGATCACAATTAGGTCAGAATGTTCCTTCTCTCTTCTGTCAATGAACTCAGTGAATGTTCTTGGTATCCTAACAATGTTTTTACAACATTATCTTGATATATACTGCAGTATAATTCATCCCACTTGTGTTTTATAGGCCCCACCTGGTGTTTGGCCCATGGTAGCTCATGACTGGGTGGTCAATGGCATTCATGGTTGAGATAGGAAGGTTTAGGGAGAGGAAAATAGGTATGAGAAGGGGTATTGCAGGGGAGTTGAAAGGGTATGGGAAGGGGTACTGTAGAATGGTTGAAAGGATATGGGAAGGGGTATTGTAGGGTGGTTGAAAGGATATGGTTAGGGGTATCAATAAATGGCTGAAAGAAAAGATATGGGAGGGGGTATTGCAGGATGGTTGAGAGCAAGAAGGGATTTGGGGCTGGGAATGAGGATGGAGAGGGGTACTGAAAAGTGGTTGAAAAAGGAAGGAGGAATGAGGTGGGTATGGGAGTACTGCTGAGTTACTGAGAGGAAGAAAAGGTATGGTTGTGGATACAAGTGAAGGAAATGTGGTGGAGGCGGAAGTTCATGTACATGTAAGAGTGTGGTACATACACAGAGCAGAGGATGGTGGTGAAAGTGCATGTACATGTAACAGTGTGCAAGTACCACAAATAAAGTGATGCTTGGAACTTTAAACTCTAGCATCTCCAAAAGCTAAAGATAACTTAGTACTGTACAGTATTTTTATGATTTGTTAATATTTTAATGGTTCACAAAAGCAGTATTATATTTGTAAATCATAATATAAGAGGTTTTACTGAAGTTAATATACAAATGTGACTTTTGCTTGTGAAATGATAAATGCCATCTGAGGTCTACTACATTAACATACGTATTCAACGAAGAACTCGAATTCCTTGGGTACTTATTTTAAACCTGGTCCTGTACTCTGAGAAATTAGCGTTGAGTGCTTGGTATCTATGAAAGCATTTTCAAATTGAACAGTTCATTCAGTCTTCCCTCATTCAGTGTAAGACTTATGAGTAACTGTGAAATACACTGAGCAGCTCTTATGGGGAATCATGTTTCCGTGGGAGTCCCTTATGGCTGGCCTGCAACGTGGTGGCGTACAAGAGAAGCCATCAGGGCAGTCCTCATCAAGCGGGGGCATCACTGCAGAGAGTGGAGGGTTCGCCATCAAGCAACATCATCAATATTTCTTGTTTTTTATCCAATTTTTTTAAGTTTAATTTCTAATAACAGTATAAAGGGTGGAACTAGAGCAGATTAGCATAAAAATACACTAAATAAATTTACAGTAGTAAATATATAACAGCAGTAATAATAATATTGTAGTAGTAATAGTATAAGCTACAACAACATCAATGAGAATAAGCAAATATATGTAGCATGTTTAGATACAGTAAAGTGGAACAGGAAGCAAACATGTCTAAGAACTGATGTGATTATTATCATGCCAAGTGAAGCATACACATGACTGGTGTCATTATTAATAAGCTAAGTGGAGTATACATATTGGTGTATTTATTGTTAAGCTAAAAGAAGAATACACATCACTGGTGTACTTATTAACAAGCCAAATGGAGTAGAGCAGTAAGCCTTCAACTTAACAGACCTCAATTTAACGGACTTCAGAAATACTGGACAAAATCCGCTGGCTCAACAGATATGGAAATGACGCTCCACATCTATTAGTTACAAAATTGTCCATTAATGTTTGTTACAATAACAGCAAAACAATCTCATCTCTAACAACAACAATCACTATTACTGACCACCTGCTCCCCCTCCCCCCCTTAGTCCGTTGAACTGAGAGTTTACTATATGTCACTGGTGTACTTATTAATACTCTGAATACAGTACACATCATTCATTGGCATGTATTCATAAGAAGCAAGGTAAGTATTGCTTACCCTATAAAAATTCTTCTTTTCAAAATTAAAATATCTCTGTTTGCTTAGCATATTTTTTGTTTATATCATTCTACATTTTTAAACTTGGTGTAATAAGAGTACAGACTTTTGAAACTTGTTAGTTAAGGGCATTTACCATGCCATTCTTTACCCCAGAATGATGCTTTGTTGAGATTCCTGAAGGCTAGTCTTTCATATGCCAGACAAGCATTAGCTGCAGCCAATGATTATTTGACAAATATCAGGGTAACCCTCAGGAACATCAACAAAGAATCATTCCGAGCCCTTTATACAACATGTCAGCTCCATCTTGGAGTATGTAGCACAAGTATGGAACTCACACCTGAAAAGTATGTTAAGAAAGTGCAGAAGTATGCATTTCTAGGACTAAGGAGTACAGCCTCTCCTCACTTAACGACGGAGTTCCATTCCTAAGACCTCGTCAGTAAACGAATTCATTGGTAAGTGAGGAGCATACTATAATGGTAGCTGGTTTGTGTCAACCATCTTCAATATTGTTTTAATGTCACCTTTGCACCATTTATAGCATTTCTGGTATAATTTTAAATGTTTATACAGTAGTGTACTGTATATTGTAATAAAGAGAGCAGAGGAAATCAGCTCTAACATACATTATTTAGGTATGAATACTGGTCATGGAGCCCATCGTAAGTCAGTGTTGTCAGTAAATGAGTACGTCATTAAGTGAGGAGATGCTGTATTATAGAGAGAGGATAACAGAACTGAATCTAACAACACTGGAGATCATAAGGGTCAGGGAAGGCATGATAGTAACATACAAATACTTAATAGGAATTGATAGGACAGAAAATTGATAGAACAGAGAGGTACAGCCTGTTTGAGAGGTGGGAAACAGGTACAAGGGGGCACAGCTGGAAGCTAAAGACAAATGAGCCACAGGCAAGTCAGGAAGTATTTTTTCAGTCTTAGAGTGTCAGGAAGTGGAATGATTTTCATGAAGAAGTTGTGGAGGCAGATTCCAAATACAGTTTTAAGAGTACATAGGGCCACAAGGTTACTTATTAATGTGGCAAGCGCAACTTGAAAGGAGCTGAGACTTGACCCCTGCCACAACATATAGGTGTGTATAGAGACCTACAGAGATATTCACTACCCTCAACCCACAGAGACATTTACCACCCTTGACCCAAAGACATTCACCACCCTCGACCCACATAGACATTCACCACCCTCGACCCACAGAGACATTCACCACCCTCAACTCACAGAGACATTCACCACCCTCGACCCACAGATACATTCACCACCCTCAACCCACAGAGACATTCATCACTCTCAACCCACACAGACATTCATCACCCTCGACCCACAAAGACATTCACCACCTTCGACCTACAGAGACATTCACCACCCTCGACCCACATAGACATTCACCACCCTCGACCCACATAGACATTCACCACCCTCGACTCAGAGACATTCACCACCCATGACCCACAGAGACATTCACCATCCACAGTTAAATCGAGATTACTTATATGGGAATTTCCCAACCTCCTTCTATCTTTCACCTACCAAGCCCATGGAAGTCACCTTCATTATCAAGTCACTTAAAAATATATCAGGGAATCTGTCTCAAGTTCCACCAATATTGTACAAGCGAGCAGCTCATGTCCTCTTGCCTGCTATTTCATTACTCTTTAACAACTCACTAGAAACAAGCACTTTCCCAACACTACTCAAGACAGCAAGGGTCACACCAATATACAAAGGTGGAGACCCTACAGATGTAAACAATGACAGGGCAATATCAAACTTACTGTTGCTATCCAAAATCTTCTAGAAGCTCGTGCACAAAAGATTATGTTCATTTATAACAGCACAAAGCATACTCAACCCCTGCCAATTTGGATTCAGAAAAAACAAAGGCACAAATGACGCAATTGTAAAAATGCTAGACCTTCTCTACACGGCTTTGGAAAATAATGAATATCCATTAGGACTCTTTATTGACCTAAGGAAAGCTTTTTATACAGTAGACCATGGCATACTACTCTGCAAACTTGACCATTATGGTATAAGAGGCCATGCCCTTGCTTATTTCAAATCCTGTCTTACTAACATGACTAGTACTTGATACTGGAGTGCCACAGGGGAGTGTCCTTGGTCCCCTGCTGTTTCTCTTATACATCAATGATCTTCCCAATTTCTCTCAACATCTTAAACCAATTCTCTTTGCTGACAACACAACTTATGTCATCTCCCACCCAAATCTTGCCACCCTCAACACCATTGTTAACGAAGAGCTAGTAAAAATATCTACCTGGATGACTGCCAATAAACTTACACTTAACACTGACATAACCTCCTACAGTGGACCCTCGCATAACGCTATTAATCCGTTCCTGAGAGCTCAATGTTAGGCGAATGAATTTTTCCCCATAAGAAATAATGGAAATCAAATTAATCCGTGCAAGACACCCCAAAGTATGAAAAAAAAAATTTTACCACATGAAATATTATTTTAATACACACAAACTGAAGAAGACATGCACAGTTACATGACACTTACCTTTATTGAAGATCTGGTGATGATTGATGAGATGGGAGGAGGGGAGAGTGTTGATGGTCTTAGTGTTTAGAAAGGGAACCCCCTTCCATTACGACTTGAGGTGTCAAGTCCTTTTCCGGGGTTACTTCCCTTCTTTTAATGCCACTAGGACCAGCTTCAGAGTCAATGGACTTCTGCTGCACAACATATCTGTCCATAGAGGTCTGTACCTCTCGTTCCTTTATGACTTTCCTAAAGTGTTTCACAACATTGTCAGTGTAATAGTCACCAGCACAGCTTGCAATAGCTGTCTGAGGGTGATTTTAATCCATAAAGGTTTGCACTTTAGCCACATTGCACAGATTTCCTTAATCTTTGAAGTAGGCAACTTCTTCAATTTCTCTCTCCCCTCCTCCAAAGCAGTTTCCTCAGGTCTGGCCTCTTGCTGTTGAAGTTGATCTAGCAGCTCATCAGTGGTTAGTTCTTCATTGTCCTCCTCCACCAACTCTTCCACATCCTCCCCACTAACCTCCAACCCCAAGGACTTCCTCAATGCCACAATTGATTCCTCAACTGGGTTAGCCCAAATCCTTCAAAATCCCTTTTGTCTACACATTCTGGCCACAGTTTCTTCCAAGCAGAGTTCAAGGTCCTCTTAGTCACTCCCTCCCAAGCCTTACCTATAAGGTTTACACAATTGAGGATATTAAAGTGATCTCTCCAAAACTCTCTTAGAGTCAACTGAGTTTCTGAGGTCACTACAAAGCACCTTTCAAACAGAGCTTTTGTGTACAGTTTTTTGAAGTTTGAAATGACCTGCTGGTCCATGGGCTGCAGGAGAGGAGTGGTATTAGGAGGCAAAAACTTCACCTTATTGAAGCTCATGTCCCCACAAAGTCACTCTGCCAAGTCTGTAGGATGACCAGGGGCATTGTCTAACACCAGGAGGCACTTAAGGTCTAATTTATTTTCAATTAGGTAATTTTTCACAGTGGGGGCAAATGCTTGGTGTAACCAGTCATAGAAAAAGTCCCTAGTGACCCATGCCTTACTGTTTGCCCTTCACAGCACACACAAATTAGCCTTGAGGAAATTCTTTTGCCTGAATGCTCTGGGAGTTTCAGAGTGATACACTAATAAAGGCTTCACTTTGCAATCACCACTAGCATTGGCACACATTAACAGAGTAAGCCTGTCTTTCATAGGCTTATGTCCTGGGAGTGCCTTTTCCTCCTCAGTAATGCAGGTCCTGCTTGGCATTTTCTTCCAAAACAAGCCTGTTTCATCACAATTAAACACTTGTTCAGGTTTCAGTCCTTCACTGTTTATGTACTCCTTGAATTCCTGCACATATTTTTCAGCTGCTTTGTGGTCCGAACTGACAGCCTCACAATGCCTTATCACACTATGTATGCCACTACGCTTCTTAAATCTCTCAAACCAACCTTTGCTGGCCTTAAATTCACTCACATCATCACTAGTTGCAGGCATTTTTCTAATTAAATCCTGATGCAACTTCCTAGCCTTTTTGCTTATGATCGCTTGAGAGATGCTATCTCCTGCTATCTGTTTTTTGTTTATCCACACCAATAACAGTCTCTCAACATCTTCTATCACTTGCGATCTCTGTTTTGAAAACAAAGTTGCACCTTTGGCAAGAACAGCTTCCTTGATTGCCGTTTTCTTGGACACAATAGTAGCGATGGTTGATTGGGGTTTACTATACAACCTGGCCAGCTCGGAGAC